CCTCAGAGAAGGGGTAGAGGAGACAAAAGGCGATGCTCAGCTGCTTAGTATCTGCACAGCACTTAGGTGCTGGAAACGGTACCGACGTTGGAAGCTGAATGTGGCACACACATTGTACCATCTACACAAGATTACACACAACAGTCAGCACAGCCAGGGACTGAACTTGCTTTCCCCCACCCATCGCCATTGAAATAGAGCCTGAGAACACTATCTGGGTGCACAGAGCCTGGCTCGCTGTCTGTCTGGAGCTGACTAATCCTGCCAGCATACATCAGGTCTACAGTAAAACCTGAGAGTGGCAGCCTTTTTTTTCCCCCACAGAGTGAGTCAGTGCCATATCCCAGATAGAAATTCAGAGGGAGTTTTCCTCCCCTCTGCCTGTTGGCTTTCCCCTTCATAGGTGATGATGCAGAGCCCTAGCACACCCATCTCAGGGCTCCTTCCTGGTGCTAACAGTGCTGGGCAGCAATTTCCCTCTGCAAGGCTCAATCTCCCATGCACACGCTGCATGAGGTGGACAGCAAAGCAACAAAGAGAGCATCAGGGGACATGAAAGCAGATGTTGACAGCTGAAGGATACACACAGGCATTAAGAGCCCTGGCAATGATGCACAAAAAACGTCAGTGGGAGAGTACAGCTAAACCTCTGCAGTAAGTTCAAAGCTGGTAGGAACAGAGCACCATTCAGTAATGGTGTGACCATTTAGGGACCCTCTATCTAGGAAAGTGTGGGTCAGAATAAATTTACTTTCATTGTAAGTCTTGTCTGTTAGTCTTATCTACCATGTTGAATGAGCTTCCAAAGGAGCATGACCCAGGCAGCTGCTAAACCTTGGTGATCTATTACTTGTGTGGAAACTTTACTGGAAAAATAACTGACTGTACCCAGAAGAAAGAAAACAATTTTGAACTCTGGAGGAGAAGAACTAAAGTAAGAGATGGTCTAGATGGGAAATGGTCATCAGGAAGCAACTTGACAATGGGTACTGAAAATTATAAAGAATATGAGTTTTTCTCCAGCCTTTTTAAAGAGAGAGAAGAAAGAAAATGTTTACACAGTAAACCTTCATGCTTCAGAGGAGGAGGCATCTGCCAGAGGGATCCTAGACTTTTTAAAGAACACTGACCTAAGGCCAAAGTCATAGCAGAAATTTTGTTTTGGTTCTGACGGTCTAAGGATGTGAGAGCCAAGGTTCATAGGAAGAGATATTAATCTTTTATTAAACCAACTGATACTACTGAAAAAAAAAAAAGAGCTCAGAGAGGGTTTGTGTGTCTAAAATTCATTTTTTTTCCCCTCCAACAATACCGTATGTTCTAATAAAAGATATTACTTCTTCCTGCAAACCTTGTCTCTCCCAAATCCAAACAATGTTCCAGAGTGGTGAGGACACAGAAGCAGGGAGTGTTTTTTGTTATTATGTTTAGCTTTGTGTTGCCAGAAATAGAAACATATTTTCAGAGCCCTTTGCAAATCCTGCATTTGTCTTTTTTTTGATAAGCAGGTGTCCTCTGCCTGATGAACTGTGACCTGGAGTACACTCAGGACAGACCTCTGGGAAAGGATGGAGCTAAATCCCCTAGAGGTTCAAGCCCAGCCCAGGATTTGGGGCAGGATGCCAGAAGGGTGGGACATAGGAGACCTGGACAGAGGGATGTCTTAATGCGGTTTAAGGCCTACATAAATCCTTCCTCTACTCAACATGTGTCTTCACTGCTGGATTCCCACCCATGTCAGGACATTGCCATGGAAGATATTAAGGACTGTTGACTATGATTTAAGACTGTATTCTCTTCTAAACATGAAGAAATACTGCCCTTTCCCTGGGCAGCTGCCACATGATTTTCTTCTGGAATTGAATTACATATTTTAGGGGAAGGCAGGAAAATGATCTGGATTTTACTGGAGCACAGGTGAACTCAGAGCCACAGAAGGGCTCTGGGAGCAACCAAACCCCAGTCTGCTGGGTGAAAGAGCAGCTGGGGGTTCTAAGCCCAGCCCTGGTGATGTCCCCAGCTCTGGACAAAGCCCCAGCCACTGTGACAGCCTCCAGCTCCCCAGGCAGTGCTGGGCAGGCACCATGAGCCTGACTTGCTACAGTCTCCGTGCCACACTCAGCTTGGCTGAGGCACAACGTCCCTGACCTGCAGCGTCTCACCACCTGCTGTCACAGTCCTGAGTCATACCTAAAAAAATCGCCTACTCACAGATTTTTTTAAAGAAAACAACAAGGAAAATGAAATCCGCCCAAATCTTTTCTCTCCAATATGGATATATTCCATCCTGCCTTCCCACAGAGACCCACACCAAAGATTGCACAGCAGATTACACAACGCATCACAGAAATGCTTCTTCAGCATCCCCGCCTTTACGCTTCACACAGATGCTGGGCTACTTCTCCCTGTCTCCCCAGTCCTTCCACTTTCCTCTGCTTTCTAATCAGATGCTATTTCACCTCTCCCTACCACCTACACCTCCACAACCATCTTCTCTCCATCCTGTCTTGTTGCAAGAAGGTTTAAAGACACCAGCTGACGGGATCCCTCTGTGATGCACAAGGAAAAGGACGCATCTGTCTTCAGGCAGAACATGGAGAGCCTTGCAGAGAGAGGAAACAAGCCTCTCTGCTGCTTTTGTTACGCAAATGTTTCTTTTCTGTATCCAAAAGTGTAACAGGAAATTAAGCAGTTCACCTTTGTTAAAGCACCTTTGCATCCCACAAACGCAGGAGCCAGATGGTGTTCTTTCTTTGTTTTAAAAGATTAAAAATGGGAAGAAAGGAAATGGCCAGGAGCTAATCTTCAGCCTGGAACACACTCACATATCCACGTGCCCAGTTAGCTGTGCTCATGGGGCCTGGGCAGGATCAAACATGGGGACCCAGTGGACTGAAGTGAGTCTGCTTGCAGAGAGCTCCAGACCTGTCACTTTGTGTCAGCTTTGAGGTGGAATCCTTCACTGTGTTCCCAGAAACAAATTACAGTATTATCCCTGGGCTGCAGCTTGGACACACCAAGCAATATTTTCTACAAACCACCTGAAGTAGAACTTTGCTCCAGGTCCTACTGGTGGGAATGGCAGGCTGTTGACAGGGGAGACCTTCTGTGCACAAACACTGAGAACCAGACTTGGAAATATCACCAGGCAGGTTGTGGATGTGACCAGGGACAGCACCAAAGAGTTTCAAAGAACAAAAGGCTGTGTTGGTCTGAAGCTCAGCTCTTGCTCTGGTAAACAGGTGATAACCAGTTATTGCTTCGGTCATGCATGGCAATGTGTATTAGCAGAGAAAAGTCCACTAGAAAAGCCTTACGACACTGTACAAGATAGCATGGAGCAATCCTCAGCAAAGCATTTTGCACAGACAGGATGAGGTCTACAGGACACCACCACAGAGAAGACAAAAAATCCCACAACAGTGAACTGGCCTGTGGAGATCTTCTCAATTCTTATTTTTGGAGGCTCTCTCAGCCTTCAAATGGCAATAGCAGCAAATTCTCCCATTGCAGAGAGAGCTCTCAGTGCTGCAGGAACACAAGCTTATCTGGGATTGTTTCAAGTGGAGTGACACTGACTGTGGTTGAGGTAGGTCTAACACGGCTGAAGGAAAGGAGCCAGGCAAGAACGTGGGTAATCACACAGGCTGCTTCTCATCCTGCCCTGGGTCTTCTCTTCCCTACTTGCTACTTCCTGAAGTTTCTGCAGTGATGGGACCATAGCCACCTCTCTTCCCTCATCACTGCCCAGTAACTGCACCAAGCCCTTTTCCCAACATGGGCTTTTTTGTGCTGCACAGTGAAGATTAGTTCCCTCACTGGTGATTAAACTTAGTGATAGGCCAATGTCCTGGGCTGGGAGAGGTGATATGTCTCAGCAGAAATCTGATCACATTTTTCCTCCTCTCCAACACAGTAACTCCACTTGGCAAGTGCCTATCACATAAAGAAAAACTTCTGACTCAGATCAAGACCATAGGTCAACCCTTTCTCGGGTAGCTCATAGAAATCATCCTCAAAGCCAAACATCCATGTTGTAACCAGAAATAAACCAGTTTTAGTCCAAGCATCAGGCTAGAAACCACTGCTCCTTAGCCTGAAAAGCCCTTCCCTGCTGGTGGATGGCCCAGTGACAAATGCCTACTCCAGTGTGCTTCAAACTCTGCACATCACAGCTTGTCCTGTAGCTGAGAAAGGGTGAGAAACACGCTGTCCCCCCAGGGAGGCTGCCATCCCAGGCAGATAGGGCAGTGCAGACAGGTACAAAGGGAGTGTGCAAGACAAGGGGACAGTGCGAGCACAAATCACAGAAGAAAAGGCTGGAAAAGCATTCCTGACTCATTAAGTCTGTCCCCAGAGACGAGTACAGGATTAGCCTCTGCACTAAACCCAGGCATTTTTATCTAGTTGCTTCCTGAACTTCGTTAATGACAGGCCCTCAGCAACCTACCTCTGGCAAATTATTCCATTGTCTAAATGATGAACCTGCTGGAAAAAAGTGATTTGAGGTCGGACCTAAATTGCCTATTATTTCCTCTTCCATATTTTATGCACTTATCAGTCAGTCTTTCAGTTGCCTTTTCTCTAGGTCCCTGTATTACATTTCTTTAATCTAACACCAGAGATCACAGCCTGTAGTCTTTGTCATCTCTTTGGATTACCTTCAGTTTATCAACATCTTCAAAAAAGAGGGAGAAAAAATAGGAAGGAAGTAAGAATGGGATGACTTCAGAGCCATCCCAAAGCATGTGACTGTGTGCTGGGGTATCACAGAGAGTTCTGTGTGTAGGCGTCTGCATGGATGTCTGAACTACGAGCATGCCCAGGACTGAAAAGGAGCAAGGACAGTGGTTCAGGGATGCCTGATCGACATCTGTGTGCACGTTTCAGTGAGGGAATAACCAAGGAAGTGAGCCCAAGAGCTCCAAAAACTGATTTACTGTAACATTTCCTAGTCTCCCTTTGCTCTGAGCATCAGACTGCCGCTGGAGCTGCCTTACCCTGTAGTAATCAGTGCTGTAGACATCTCTTGACATCCCAAAGTCTCCAATCTTCACCAGCAGGTTGGCTCCGACCAAGCAGTTCCTGGTGGCCAGGTCTCTATGGACAAAGTGCTGGGAGGCAAGGTACACCATTCCAGAGGCGATCTGGCTAGCGATGTGGAGCATCTGAGATAGCCCTAGCTCCCCTTTGGCTTGTCGAGGCTGCCCATCCACGAGGATCATAGCATCTGGGCCATGTGCCCTATAGGGAGGAAGAAGCAAAAAGCATAGAGTTGGGTCTCAAAAGTGACCAGGAGATAGGAATCCCACACGGTCGCTGCTCCTGCTGGGGTGGCGACTAGCCCCCAACTCTGCACTGTGAGGATGCACACACAGCTCCAGTGGAAAGAAAAAAAAGAAAAGCTTAAGAGAACAGGAGGTTGGGGGAACATTTTGTGGGTGAGCGGGTGCCATACATCCTTATCCTATCCTTACTCTTCTGCAAGGAAGCTCTTATGGCCACAGATGGAGACAGACTGCCAAGACAGAGGGACCATTGGCTTGATGCAACATGGACATTCTTCTCTGACAAGACCAATACAAAACTGATGAGCCTCCAGATATTTACATGTGTGCTCCAGTTAATTCTTACACCTTGGAAACCTTCCCAGAGGTAGAGATGTCACCCCTTGTTCTTCCAGAGCCATCATATTGTTGCTACCTAGTCTCTTTATTAATCCCAAACAGCCTCCTCTATTTTCTCCAAACACCATATCACCAAACAACCTCCCCCTGATCAATACCAATAGAGCCAGAGATCACATAAAAGATTTCAGAGGAACACCAGCAGCTTCATCCCTGGAAAATACCTTTTATACCCTAAGCTTTCCCAGAGGTAACACAGGTACTATAAACTGTGAAGGCATGAGCAGAGATGCAAAGGTTAGACTTGGATGTCAGCAGGTGCAGAGAACATCCTGGGCAACAAAAGGAAATATTTTGCTGAACCAAGTACATTGTAAATGCAGGACTGAAGGTCAGTCTCATTGCTGTCCTGTCCCCTTTTTAGTCCCCTCCCTCGCTGTGTACAAGCCTGTCTTTGCTGTGCCCCTTCTGTGATGTCTCTTCCCCTAGGAGAGCTCACCCTGCGGTAGCCTGTGTGAAGGTGGAATAACAAAAGCCCTCATATTTGGGGAGAAGCAAGAGATTTTGCTGTGACCTTCCTCCTTGTGACTAAGATACAGTACAGCATTTCCTCTGAGGCTTTCATACTGTTCTCTTTGAAATCATTCTTGGCATTTCACCCCTGTCATCAGCAGTAACCCCACGGAGAGCTAGCAAATTGAAATTGCACATACAGAGCTTTCCCTCCTTCTTGACATAGGACTGAACCCACAGCAAGATCCAAACTGTTTCCCTCCATTGTCTCTGTACCCTAATGGCTCTGTTGGGCTTGAGGGTGCACCAAGGGGATTAGCATCCAGGCATTTGGGGCTCAAATGACAGTTTTTCAAATGCCCCTGTCTTCAGCTACTTCCTGCTGCCCTACCACTGGGAACATGGCTCTGAAGTGCCCTTCCTGGTAGAAAGGACAGCTGGAAGAGGAGAGGAACTCCAGAAATGAGTGCTGACAAGCCAGGAATGGTTTTTGGGAGCCACGAGTGGGTGATGCTGCAGTGAATGTGGGATGAGCTGGCTGGGAGCAACACTGCAGGCAGCAGGGCTGGGGCTGCCGGGCAAATCTTGAAGGCTCGCAGGCATGGTGAGAGCAGCAGCACACCAGAACTGCTGGGGGCAAGGAGGAGCTGCAGAAGAGTGTATGCACAAATGACTGTTTGCTGTCTTATTTAAACAGCCCACAGACGGGTTTACCCCAGGAAATTACCTGGTGGTGACAACAGATGTCAACAGCAGGTGAAGCTGAGCCAGGACTGAGCAGGTTAGCTAAAAACAGCAACGCAGGACAAATGATAGCTTCTAAAACTGTGCTGGACAGTTTGTACCAGTCATGCCTTGCAGTTACACCATATTTAGGTGCAGCTGATACCTGTTGTCACCAAAGGTAAACATTCCTAGGTGACAAGTGAAGGATATATTACTATCTCACTACTGCCACCTTTTTCAAATACAGTAATGGCCCCCAAAGAAATGTCTGTGTCTGAAGGGAAGAGGCGATGTTTAAAAAATGATCAGCCTATTTCACTGGCTCTTTTTACATCCTACTATATCGGACGCATCTCGATATGTGCTATATTTTTACATCCTACTATATCGGACGCATCTCGATATGTGCTATATAATACATACACCTCCCTCCCTCCCTTTCTCCATCCCATGTGGGTATAGTGCAGAAGAAAGAAGTATCAACACATTTATGAGATTAACAGGAGGGATAATGTTAGGTTAATGGTTGGACTGGATGATCCTAAAGGTCTTTTCCAACCTAAACGATTCTATGATTCTATAACATTAGTACATTTAGTTGTATCAAGAAGGCTGCAAGGAATACAAGAGGGGTCTGCTCATCTCTTCTGGGGGAAAAGGGTTTAATTCAGCTTTACAGAAAGGACGTAAGATTGGGTGGATCCCCTGTTAAAGAACTGTTGGGGGTGGGGGGGGGTGGTCTGTTATGGGGCAATGGAGGCTTTTGTCAACCTGGGGAAGAAAATCACCCCTCTAGCTGCATGCTTCCTCTGCTGAAATGCCTCTTTATGTCCCAAGACAGTCTGACTGTGGGGGCTGCTCCACAGGAAGGACTGACACAAAAACATCAGAACTATGCAACTTTTCTAACAAAATCTATTGCCTTTCTGAGTTAACAGCAAATGGCAACAACTTACTATAGACTGCAAAGAGGGTCTGTAATGGCAACGTGCAAACAGCCCTACTTCAAATTTGCTGCTTCCACAGACAGAAAACAAAAGCCAGAAACCAGTGACAGAAGGAAAAGGAGGAAGTGATGGAGATATTCAGTGAGCAGAGAGGGAAGGCGGTTGCTGCAGACACCCAAGCAGCGAGTCTGTGTGGCGGGGGGGGCCCAGAGCCTTGCCACACACATAACCTGCGGGCAGTCTCCAGCCCCTGTGTACACCAGCCTGAGGGATGCCCTGCTCACTGGGGAGCAATGCCTGTTTTTCTCTACGGCAGGACCTTTCACTAACCCTTTTCTATTAGCCAGGACACCACGATTGCAGTCTCCCCTGGTGCGGAGAGCAGAGGAAGTTGTTGCACCACTGGCAATGGTCTTACACACAGGAGCCCTGGGAGGAGTGTAGAGCCATGCCAATACATGCCAGCTCTAGCCCAGCTGGTAGGTGTTGATCCTAGTGCTTCACCTTGCCACACCAGTTAATTTTAGAGACCAGTAAAATTCTCTCTCTTTTCTGGGAAGCCCACAAAGCTCTAACAACACTTAGGGGAATTTATTTATTGTGCTTTTCTCCAGGAAACTGGGTCTAAAATGAGCCTCTTCCGTTTTACTGCTTTTCCAATTTCTGCAGTTAAACTGGGAAAAGTCCATCTGAGTGTCTCTTACAGACTCCCAGCGCCCCTGGCCTCCAGTGCCTGGAAGGAACCATGTCCTGCTGTGGGCTGGGTGAATCATGCCACAATAAAAGCTGCTACTCACCAGGGATGCCAGACACCCCTGCACCACCGACCTTCTCTGACCCCCTTGCAGTCCCCATCCCTCATCATTGCCTCTGTGAGGATAGCAGAGAGCTGACCTGACAAACAAAGCCCAAGACTCTCTTTCCATATGCCCCCTTAAGTGTTTTGCTGGGTATAAGCTCACTTGTCCCAAAAGCCAGCTTCCTTTGGGACACAAAGGGATTTCACTGCCTATCATGCACCAGCATGCAGAGAAGGCTCATAGCTGCTTGCTCCATAGCTGCTTGCTCCACAGCTGCATGAGAAGGAAAAGCTGGCAGCTAAATGCAGCAGGAAGATGTGAGGATGCAATCCCAAGGACCACACATCTGGAAAGTTTCTTTTCCTTCATAAAGGCCAAAGATAATACAACAATGAGCTTTCCTCCCCAGTGACACTGGGACAGGCCCTGGCCCCCCAGGGCATGAGCTTTTCTCAGCTATGTCCCAGGGAAGGGTTGGGACGTGGGGATGTGGTGGCACATGGCTTCAGCACAATATCAGCCTTAGGATCACACTGTTGTGTGAAGCTATTACACAAGGCATTGGCAGTGGGCACAAGACATTCCTCTGAGACAGCCAGAGAGCCTGTTTTGGACTATACTGTTTGGGAGGTCATTTATAGCAGTGAAGGAGGCTATGCCTCAGCTGTAATGTCTACCTCCTCTAAGGAGAATAAGGTTGCTTGTTCTGCCAGGAAAAAAGATGGGTCAATTTTCTGCTCTTCCTTGTGAAGCACTTCAAGAATGTGGTCTCTCATGCTCTATTTTAGACTGCCTTCCTCCAGTCACGAGGCTGAGGCACTGTCTTTAAAACTGCATCTCCAATCTGTACTAAAACACTGTTTCAGCCCAATGCTCGGTTTCATGCCGGTAGGCAGAGTTCAATCTGCTGCTGCTCGGAAGTTGCTGAGCAAGAGGGGTAACCAAGGCTGCTCCCCTTTGAACATGGGTCTGAGGAGCTCTGCAAAGCTAATGCAGCATCAGCCTTCACTTGTCCTAGCTTGCCAAGGATGTCATCTATCCAGAGCCTGAGACAGGGACTGAGCTATAAAATCATATTCAATCTACCCACAACTATGCTGAAATAAGGAAGGAAACCAATGCAGGGATGTTCCCAGCCCAGCCACTGCCCTGTGAATGCCCCAAGGGAGCTGCAGACAGGTTGGCACTGCTTGGCAGAGAAAAGAAGAAACCTTTGAGGTCCTTCTCCATATCTCTTCTGGTTGCAGGTGATTGCTTAGAAATTAAAACCTCAGGGAAGGACCTGTGTTTCCTGGTCAGAAGCAGACGGTGATAGTGGAAAAATAATCACCAAGTCTATCCCAACCCCAGATCTAGACCTGCTGTGCTCAAGCCTCTTGTTCCTGTTGCAATCATGTTCACATTTAGCAGTCAAAACAGGAAAATATCAAGGGTCCAATTTTCTAAATACTGGGAAATAAAACTACTAATTATTTCAAGAGGTAGGTACCACTCCACTTGCATGCAGGTTTCAGAGCATAATTTCTGTATCGTGGGAGAACACCACCACAAACATCCTCCCACAGGTGCTCCCTGCCCCTCACTGCCGGCAGATTCAGGGCACACAAATGATCTGCCTCACACTGATGAAATGGTTGAATGATGACTGAGGGGGGCTCCAGCAATTTGAATCTCTCTAGAGGCAGGGAAGGTAATTATGGCACTTCGTTAGGCCTTGCCTAGCTTCTTGAGTAGTGTGGTGCCACAGATTAGGATAGGTTGTACCTCAGTCAGCATCTCTGTCTGATGAGACTTGGGGAACAAGGACAAGGCATGGGTTCCACAGGCACTGCCTGAGGCCCCTCCATCATTTCTCAGCTTTTTTCTGAATAGAGGAATGAGAACTAGAGATCAGTAAATGCCCAGGATACCAATCAGAGCAAGGACTCCAGCAAGTTTCTCAAAGGAATGTTTTGGTTATGGTGCTGTTGAAGCAGGAGCTGGGTGACATGGGGAGTGATGAGTAGTGGCCTTCCTGCTTCAGCAGGGCATGTCTTTGCTGGGTGGATGGGACTTGGAGCTGCTGACAGCCGTGGGCTTCCTACCCCCACAGGGCAGAGAGGGATTGCAGCCACGCTTTCTGCAGCTTCAAACTTGCTGGGGTGGGAGAAGAAAAATCTGGCTTCCATAGCCCACAGGCACCACCCCTGGGACTACCTAAGAGGAAATATTGGGGTAGGGTTAATAAAGCACCAAATCTGGAGAGGACCATCATCTCCTACAAGCTGTCCTTGAAACAACCAGCTGTCATTACCCAGCCCACCAGCATCCACATGGCAGTGGTGTCACTGGTACACCACGGATCAATAACATGCCACACTGAGGCTGCGGAGCAGCTGTACAGCATCCCCCTTGCCCTCCTTCGCACGTACCTCAGGAACTTGTTCAGGTCCCCATGCTTCATGTACTCGAAGACCATGATGAGGGGGTCACCATCACCACACACGCCATAAAACTTGACTATGTGCTCGTGCTGCAGGTTGGTGAGCAGCTCTGCCTCCCTCTGGAAATCCTTGCGGGCTGCCAAGGTGGGGTCTTTCAGCGCCTGAAAGAAGGGACGCAGATACAGCGTGGGCTCAGGCAAGGGCAAAGCCAGAACAAACGGGTTGCAGTATCACAGAGGAGCTGATGAGGAAGGGAGGGGAGAGGGGCCGCTGCAGCCAGCCCAGTTGCACTGGGATGGCTGGCAGTAGGTGCCAGTGGCACCACCTCAGAGTTTTGTTCATGCAGTTACCAGCCCAGCAGGTTCCCCAACTCATTTCCCAAGCAGCAGCAAACATACCTTAGAGGGTAATAGCTTCCAATTATTCCCAGCTTGGGCAGGATTTGTACTGGTGACCTAGGGATGAATGGCTTCATATCTCATTATTATTAAATTCCTGAGCCAGCCAGTCCTTGCTATCTGTCTTTTATTTTGAAATAGCTGACTACACTGCCTTTATTCAGAAGATGGATTTGCCTGGCTGTGCAGTTATTGTGTGGATTTTTCAAACTGCCTCTGAAGAAGGACACTGTCAAGTCTTTTCTCATAATTTTTAAAATCATGTTTTTATTCCCTGCTGTTTATAACAGCTCCCCTGGCAGACTGATGTTGAAATCGGTATCCTTATTGAGAATATCTCATCTTCCACATTTGAGCACACCACTTTGCCATTGCAGGGTAGCTTGCAGGCTCTAGGCTGTGCAGACCAGCCCAACATCGCAGGGTTGCTATGAAGATGTTGCTGTGGGTGCAGCTGGTGATTGCGGAGAGTTCCCCAGGGTTGGAGGCCACTTGCTCATGCATTATCGTGCAGTGGCATCAGAGAGCTAGTTTGAAAGCAGCGTGTCATCATCCCAGGGTATCAAGGGAGGGTTTTTCCATGAGCACTTAGCAAAAAAGTTGAAGTCCAGAATATTTGACAAGATGGGATGGCCACAAGAAACAGCACAGTCTTTGCAAACATTGAAGGAAATGAAGAGGCAATTAGAGGCAATTCTGGTTTTGAGTTGCTGGGTCTTAGTTATATTCTCCCCATCCTCTACGTGCCAGGACTGTTTAGTACTAGTTCTGACATTAACCATGCAGGCTGATGGGAGTTGAAAAGGATTCAGGGAAACTTGTTTTAGTTAGCCTCAGATTCAATGTGATGTGCACCAGTTCCCCCTCAGTGGTGGGGAACATAGGTTGCTCTCCCATAGATACGCCTGCCCCCTTTTCCTCATGCCTTCAATCTCCCCTTGCTGACAGGATAGGTGGCATCAGCAGGTGCAGGCTCCAATTTATGTGCAAAAAGGGGTGTTAAGTATCAGAAAGCTGTGCATAGAGGAAGGGGTTGAATAAGCTGCTAATGCACCTCCAGCTGGTCCATGGCACTGCTGGGTGCAATGCCACGTGCAGCAAAGCAGTGAGTCCTCCAGAGTAGCCGCTTTTCCCCTTGGAGCAGATCTCGTGTGAGGTTTTTACCCAAGCCTTAGGACACTGCCTCATCTCCTTCTTCTGCCCCCAAACTGCTAGTCACATGGCATAGTTTTATTTTAATTCTACGTCCTCTGGGATAGCTTAACTAGAGATATTTAGATGGATGTTACTTACACTGTGCAGATGGCAAAGCATCCATCCTTATCTCAGGCACCCAATTACTTTTAGTCATTTAATATCTTCATAATGTTGATGTTACCCTATTTTTCCCCAGGAAAACAGTCCCCCTCCCCACCACTCTTTTCTCCCCCTTTTTCCAGTAGTTGTATGTAATATTTCAAACTGCAATGAGTTTAGGTTTCCTCTTCTTCACACGCAATCATTTCTACAAGGTGTTAGGGCTGTAACTGTGTAAATATCACACACCAAAAAAAAAAAAAAAGTTAAAAACCCCCACATTACTAAGGTCGCACAGCCAAGCATTTAGAAATAAGGGAAACAGGAGCTGGAAGTGGTGGAACAGGGAAAGAAGACCAGGACTGGAAGGTTTGGGGTGGATTGTATTTGTGCCTCCATCACATAATTTCTACGTGACATCTGGCAAGTCACTCAGCATCTGCAGGTTGCAGCCATGGTCACAAAGTGTCGGTTGTTCCAATATTACCTTGAAAATCCCCTCTCATGCGGCATCAGGGCCAGGTCTGCACAAGGTCCGCTGGTTTACTGCAGCAGCAGCGGTCAATGTGGGTCTGATACCCACTCTCTGCAGGGCTGGAAAGGCAGGTTAGTAACTCCATCCTCCACCTAAGTGGATCCTTTCAGCTCAGCTTGCCTGCTTATCCATCTGCCTTCTGCAAAATGGGGTTGATACAACCCCAGCACCTCACTGGGAGGCTCTGAAAACGAGCACACTCACATCTAGGGAGCTCTCAGACACAGGAGTGATCATCACAGTGAAGAAGTCCGTAGAGAATGAAAAATATGTGTTCGGAGGACATGCCCTGAATACCAGCCCCTCCAGCATTTCCAGTACTTGACTTTGCAACCTCAACACTCTTCGCTGAATATAGTTTTTGTGCATTTCTTAGGATGCTTTTAGAAGCAAGTTGAATAAAACAGGAAGCTTGGCCATGCCATCACACCAAAACTCAGCTTATCTGGGGGGGCTGCAATCTTTAGATCTGCTGAAAATCTGAGTCCATTTAACCAAGCGAGTAACTTTCTTTGGCCTTGGGAGGGAGTCCCTGAGAGCACAGAAGAGGCAGACTCTGGGCTGCGGACTCAGCTGCCCTAACCAGCATGTCCTGCTGCTGCCCTGAGCTGCAGTGACTGGGGAGGTAGTTCTCAGCCTCTTCCGGAAGCATGAGATCTTCAGGAAATGCAGCCAAATCTCAACTTAATATGTAAAGCCTTTTTTCCTTTCCTTTTTTTTTCCCCCTAAGACTTATAATGTGGCCCAAATTAGAGGGATTTTTCCCTGCCCCCCTTCCCCCCGCTGCCCCAAGCTGGCAAGAAGCCAGATTGCAAGGCCCTGCTCTAAAGTTGGATCTGTATGATCTTGCAGGATGAAAGGCACTCTGGAGATGTAAGCTTATAGTAGCAATTAATAGAAACAAGTTTGGATGCTGTTTCTGCCTACATGCAAATGGAACTCAGTAGAGACTTGAGAGACAGGATTGCATAAGGGATGGCTCACACTGATAGGCAGGTACCAGCCATTTAATCAGGCAATTAATCATGTAGGTAGCTGTGCTACCTCAGCTTTAACCAGTCTCAGAGGTGATAGGTGCAATCTTGCAGTTCACGGTCAGAGCATAAGGAGACAAAAAAAGTGCTTGAACTGTCAATGATTAAAACAACTTTCAAGTAACTGGATGCCTCCAGCATCCTGGAGAGAGAGCTGGAACCTTTCTCCCTGTAGAGCATCAGTTCAAATGCAGATCTTCGTCCAAGGAGTTAGGAGCCATCAATTAACTCCTGGGGATTAGACTATGCGTGTCTGCCCACCGGTGCCACTTGAGAGAAGAGCACATTTCTGCACTGAGTGGTCTCCTCTGCCCAGAGCCACACTGATGGGGCACGGCTCACATGAGGACCCTCACAAGGATGCAAACAGCACAGCACAAGCCAAGTTGAACTGGTGTTGCCTTAAAATCACCAAAACAGGAGCAATCTGTGGCTAGGCAAGCAGGACCTGGGTGGAGCCGAGCTGGGTTGCTTCACTCATCTTGCAGCAAATTGATCCCAGCAAATTGGTTTGTCATGCTTAGCTTTTCAGTGCTCATTTTTGCCAAGGCCTTTTGTTGTTTCAGCTTCTGCATGTTCCACAAAGATATAAAATCCAGAAAGAGAAAAGCCCTGCTCCCTCATGGAGGGAAGGTGGACTCCACACTGTGCTGCTGCAGCTGCATGGGAGCTTACAGCTTCCAGACCAGCTTCTCCTCCCCATCTGTCTCCTGGCCACATCGGCAGGAAGAGAGGCTTTGGCATTGGTGAGAGTAGACAACCTTGAAGTGAAACACTGAAACTTTTTGTGACTAAGTGGATTTACCACAATCTCAGGCATCAGATAATTCTCCGCCCCTGGCCCCCAGCCCTCCCCTGCTTCCCTTTCCCACGCAGGCTCATCCAGCCTTGCTTCACCGGCCAGACTCTGCCCTACTCTCTGCCGTTCACCCTTGGGATTTACCTTCACTGCCACCAGCATTTTGTCGTTGGTGGGGCTGAGGTTGTAACACTCGGCCAAGAACACCTTCCCAAAGGCACCTTCTCCCAGCTCCCTCTTCAAAACGATGTCTCTCCTCTTAATATGCTGGACATCTGTTGGAGGGAGGGGAGGAAGAGGGAGAGAGTTGAGGGAAGAATGAATCAGGGTTAATTCAGGGAATGGAAAACAACTAATTCAATTTTCTAGCAAGCTGCAAAGAATCTGCAATTGCTTTGCAAAAATATCTATTGGGATCTTTTTACCCACCCACGGAACGCAGCCATCTCTGGGATGGAGCTAGTCTCATGCAAAACATCTGCAAGGAAAGTACTTGAGGTTTATCCTGTTTTTCACTATAAGCTTGCGGCAAGCTTGTCCTCAGGGAGAGGAACCTTTGGGGCAAAATCTGCTACAAAGACCTGAAACTCTTTGGAACGTTCCTGGAAATAATTCATCTCCTGCAAGGCATAGCAAAGGTCACATACTTTCGATGCCAGGCCAAGTGAGATTAGAAGGTCCTGTTGAGTTTTGCATTTCAATCAGGATCAGTTTAAACCCCGAACTCAGGCAGATTTTTGAGGCTGAACTTTGGCAAGTCAAAGCGTTCCCAAGGGGAGGAGGACCACTGACCCCCATGCACCTTAGGGCACAAGCAGGAGCCAGTTGGACATGCCAAGCACTGCCCTGCAGCAAGACCCTGACCCTGCAAGCCATCTCCTATGTGCCTGTTCCCTTAGAAACAAGGTCATCCCAGGATAAAGTCACTGGCACAACAGACAAACTCAACCCATTAGTTTCAATGATCCTTTCCACTGACATTTAGGATGGCGAGGACTGACAGAGAATAGCAACCGAGGTTTCAGGAAGAATCAAAAGAGCAATAGCTATTAATTTAACAAAGGTACAGAGGCCTATGAAGATTGATCTGCTCAGCTAACAGGGTCATTCATAAGGGTTAGATCTACCCACGTACTAGGCACCTACAAGAGTAGATAAGCGACTAGGAGGATCTCCACAAATGATGGGTCATGATTAAATGACACTGGTTGCTGGAAGAGCTTGGGGGTCTCCATACTTTCTTTTGGGGATGACAGTAGGGTACAGCTACTTGCTGCCAAACCTTTCTGGCATCACAGCACCCATACAGCTCCTCTGGAACACAAAGAGGCTTTTTTTAATGCCTGAAATGAACCATGGAAGCAGCTAGAGATGCACAGCCACCATAGCATTTTCTGGAGGCACAGTACCCAAAACTTCATCTCTCTAAACTGCACTTCACCGGAGCTTACCGCCTCCCTTGAGAACTGTGGTAGCACAGACCACTCCCAGCTTCAGCCTGATGGTCATGGCAGGGCAGTGAGAGCTACACACTATTCTCCAGTGCTTGGTGAGCAAAAGCTGATATATTAGAGTCTCCTCAAGCAGAGGCATTAGATGGGACAGTGCCCTCTTTCCACTCCTACCCTGGGGCATTCATAACTTGACCTTGCATCTGCTTGCTCACAAACTGGACTGCTTTTGAGTCTTTTCCATCTCTTCCATGTGCCACAGGAGATGTACAAGTATTACCCCTTAGCTCAGACGCATTTCCCTTGGGGCACTGCAGATGCAGGAGGTGGAGGTGACTAACACTGGGTTTCAAACTGGCTGCAGGGAAGCATCATTAAACAGCAATCACAATCTGCCACCAGCTCCTACCACCCAGGTACCCAAGTAGGCACCCGCATCGACCTGAGGGAGCATATGCCTCACAGCAACAAAGATACCACTTAATGCATCAAAAAGCCAAGGGATTGGAAGAGTAACATCCTAATGGCTTTCATACAATTAAGTTTTTTTGTTAGGAACTCACAGGCAGGCTTAAGGACCTGCCATCTCTGGCCCTTTTTCTTGTTTGGGAAGATGGATGCTGTGAGATTGCATAAGCAATGGGCCTTGGAATGAACAATGCCTCTATAGAGAACTCCTGTTGACCTTTTGATTAATTGTTCAATAAACTGAAAACTGTTAGTTACCAATATTAATAAAATTAGTAACATTAAGGCACAGGGTGGTAGGCACATCCAAAATGACTTTGGTTTTAAATCTGCGGTGACAGCCAGGGAGAACAAATCACATGTGGACTTTGCCTTCTCCACTTGGTTTAGTTGAGTGTTTAAGGAGTACCTTGAGAAATCTGAAATATTACGTGTTGAAATGTTAAGTGATGCACTTGGGTGAGGAAAGCCCTAATCTAAGAAAAGCTCAAATGGCACCAATTTACTTAATAGAGTAGAGGAAAAGGGGTTTTTTCCTCTTTCTCTTGGCAAGCATTTCTATAGCACTCATCACTACAGCACCTAGGATTTGCTGTATTGACAAACCATGTATTTGCATTCTTGGTCTCCTGAATAGCAGCAGTCAAGAAAGCTATGGGGAAATGATCTTGTATTAAAAGGAGCCCAAGGACACTTTAAAAAACTAAAATCCCAACAGAAATGTAGCAATTGCAATTCGATTGCCCCATTTGGTGTGAGATAAAGTTAAAAAGGAAACTGTCTCAGAATAACCAGCAATACTATTTGAGATTATTTACACTTCTGATGAGTAAGTGGTAACATCATGAGAACTGAAGCAAACCTCTTTTTCTGAACTCCCCAGTGTCTTGCCCAAAATTTTCAGCTCCCAGTTTTTCCTCCCAACAACATCTTAATAAATGGTCAGACATTTCTGAGAGCCAGCATCCAGACTGCGTAATTATGTCTACATTATTAAAATGATATCCCATCTGTCTTCAAGACCAGATTTCACAGCAAGTTGTTAGGGTCACCTAAGAAGATTCAGGGAAAATTTATATGAAGAATTTAAGGAGATATTGTGGCAGACGGAGTTGAACTGAGGGATGAGCAATCCTTTTGAAGTAGTGGATTCATGTAGCACTGCTGGATTTAAAGTAAACTTGGGTGGTTATAAAAAAAAAAAAAAGGTTCATGAAGTTAAGCAGTTTGACAGCACCTGGACACTCTTAATGTAGAGTCAGAAAAGTACTTTTGCTGATCACAATTTCTTGCAACCTCAAATGTCCATAAATTTTACTTCATAGTATTTTCAGCACAAATGGAATAATAAGTGAGTTATAACAAATTGCTTTTTCACATGCTATAGACTTAAAATACTGAAGTTTACATCAAATTCTTCCGTTCACAGTGAGATCAGCACCATGATTAATTCTACATTACTATTAAATATGGGCTTTAAACAGAAAGCAATGACAAACCGCTTTGGCACAGTGCGAATGGCTGTGTTATTGTGCTAACCTTGCATCTCTTTGCTCATCTGTCCTGGTTGTAACTCATAAGGAAGGCCGAGTAGCCATGAAAGATGCTGTGCTGCAAGGGCACCCGGGAGGTTCATCTGCATAAATCTGTTTACCTCCTCCTGGAGAAAGCTGAGCCCTGTCTGATAAACAGCTGGTGTTTATTTGTTTTAGGCAGGCAGTGGTGTGCTAATCTGTCTCGGCTGTGTTGCAGTCAGCCCTGCCAACAAGGTGTATGCAAACTGTCTTGCCATAAGTACCACTCTTTTTTTTTCTCCCCCCTGTACCATTAACTTATAAAAACAAGCCAACAAGACAATTCAAAAGAAGAATCTATGCAGGAGCCACAGTAGGACCTGACAGGAAAATAACCAGACTTGACAGCATGATGGGAAGTCATTCAAGGCCGTGCTGTATCTACAGGAAGGATGTGAGCGCACAACACTGAAGTAATTCCAGTTTTAAATGAAACATCTTGCAGTCCTTGTTTTGGGATTACTATGTTGCTGCATGACACAGAAGGAGAGTTGGGCAGATTCCCCACCTTCCTTCTTGTCCATCAGGATTTAACACATAGAGAACGTGCTTCAAGCTCTTGCCATCACTACTGTTCTGAATAACACATGAACCACATCAGAAAACACTCGCCCTGCAGCTGGTTGGAAATGCCCCACAACTTCAGTTTAGTGATGGTAGCATGTGGGTAAGCAAGAGTATTAGCAAGAGAGTAAGTCTGGGACACTGCACTCACCTTTACAAACTACCTCCAGAGCAGAAAAGCTTTCCTTTTCTCTGGAAGAGTCAAGACAGAAGGGTTGCAGCTTTGGATCTGCGATGGGATCTTACCTAACCTCCTCTGAACCTTTTACAGGATGGCTGACTTGATCTATGCTTAAAGTGCACTCAAGTCAGAAAAGTGGCTGTCTAAAAACAGCAACTTCTTCCTCCCCATATTTGCTCCCATGTGTCCCTTAGTCATTTCCACTCGACACAAGCGTATTCTAGTTTGCTAACCTTGCAAACCCAGCACAGCCATGGGATAGAGAGGAAGAAGAGGGAACAAGATTAATTCTGCGGTTTTCATACATCAATCTACCATGTCCTGATGGGTCACTTCTGCACTGACTCCTGGGATGGAGCCTGGAAAAGCCAGAACTTTTTAGTATAAATCACTGATTCAATGACTCTTCACCCATCTTTTACACTCATACTGCAGAATGTCTCTTGCTTGTGACAAGGACAAGGCACAAAGACCCTGAGTCAACCTCCAAATCCCAGGTAGAGCATACAGAGCTGAGAACAGACTGTGTGCGATGAAAACACCCTTTTTTCTAATAACCACTGCATTTCAATCACATGAGCAGAAATCGGGAAGTCGCATGGGTACATTTCATTAATCTAATTTTCAAATTATTTTCTCATTTCCAAATCAGTCCTGGGGGGTCAGGTGAGGAAGATGTGGGTTCAATGACACTGCAAATTCTGCGTTTCAGATTCCCATCACAGCCAGCATCCTTAAAACCATGATTTGATAATACTCTTGAAGCCTGGATGCACACGATGAAGTGTTTGGGCACAGATGACTACAGTGGGAGGTAAATGGACAAATCAAACTCCAAACAGAGTAAACCATGAGCAGTGCCAGTACTTAGTTTACAGCAAAATGCAAAACTGCTTCTTAAGCTGGATCATTTACACAAGGTCTGAAATTAATTCCTCACATCTCCTTCTTTCAAACTCCTGAACAGTGGTCTATCTGGTCGACGTATTTCTGGTGGGTTTCCTGTCCTTGGACTCTTAATTCACAAACAACATGTAGCTCACTGACAAAACAGCAAACCTATGGAAATCTTTCCTTTTACTTTCGCCACCCTCTGAGCAGCAGCTTTCTCTTCTAGCCTAGAAAAGACCAATATCAATTTTCTATCAGTTTCTTTTCTCCTCTACATGTGTCCCTGTTTTCCCTAGAGGTAGGTCCTTTCCTGCACCTCTCCATCACCAGCTTCTTCCTCCTTTAGCTTTGTCACTTCATGCCATTTCTTCTCTCTTTTTCTTCTCTATTTCTTGCCCTTCTTGTTATTCAATCCCTTTTTTAAAACTGACTTCTTTTAGATGTGTTTCTAAGGTACCCTGATTTAAGCCTGATCCTGGGCTCTTTGTGGTAATGGCCTTGATTTTCATAAGCTTCTAAAGCCTCATTTGCATCAACAGCGCTTTATAAATGATAACAACAACATTTTTCAGTAGTGGCTGAGTCATTTGCTGTAACAACTAATTTATGCCAAAGAGTTGTCTCTTTTTTCTTTATACATAAGTTGTCCACAGAAAGGTAGCAAAGTTCCCAGTTAGTCAATATGATTCATTCACTTCTTTCTTGACTCACTGCTGTAATAATTCTTATGAATAAACCCTGCATAGCTTCTCTGCTCCATGACAATTAAAATCAAATAAACAAAGCTTACAATTTACACTGGAAATCTTGTCATTAAGACATGTAACTACCAACAGAGTGCCTTTCATGTCAAGCAGTCAATTGCAACCTGGACGTCAACCAAATGTGTTGATGAGTTACCCGATGTACCTGATCAGAGCAAAATGTGCAGATCAGGTAGGACTAGATCAAAAAGCTTTGCCACTGGAGGGCTGATAAGTCATTCTCTCACAGACCTGTCTCATAGTGAGAGAAGATAATGCATAGGCTAGCTGCACAGAGTCTGAGTCTCCCTCCTGGCCTGGTGCAAATCCATCAAAGTCAATGAAAGATATTGATTTCAATTGTGGACTGCTGTGAAGTACACGTAAACAAAGGGAGAATCAGTCCCACATTATTTAAAAAAATGGAGACATAAACAGGCTGTTTCTTATCTCTGTATGGACTCCAAGTAGGTAGCCCTCCATGTCTGGTGGCTTCTCTCTCACCTCTGACATGAGCCACCTCTGGGAAAAGGCCTGGATACACAATTTGGCAGCTCAGTACTGTGCCCAGACACTGGTTCTTTGCCAGGTTCCTTTGTTAAGGCACTCTTCAAGGACTCGCCTTCAAAAGAGTTGT